CCTGCTTTGTTTATTTAATTTCTTTTCTCTGCACTGGGGCTTGCCAAATGGAAGCCCCCCCCTCTCCCCACCCCCCCCCGCCCTTTCATTCACAGAAATCAGGGAGATGTAAATATTACTCATTTATTTTTAGCATTGCCAACTTTTGTTTAAAAAATCAAACATAAGGTCCCTTGAATTTTGAAATGGATTTCAAAAAACCTTGTTGAAAAAATAAATTTTGAATAATTTCTGTTTTTGCCTTCTGCATTTTGTGCCTTTGAAGGTTCAGGCTTTCAAGCCTTTATGTACAACCATAAGAGACTGAAACTTGTTTTACTGTTAATAACTGCTGCCTCTCTTGCAATCGCACAGTTCCAAGAAGAGCCACTGTAGAAAATAAGCCAAACTAAATACTGAGGCTTAATAAACTCCTAAGATGACAAAAAATTTTGCTCCCCAAAATTGCCCATCAATTTGCCCGTAGCTCCTATGAACTCTGGGAAAACAACATGGGAATATAGTGCAGCATGATTGTTCTAAGGGGTGCTCAGTGAAATTAAACAGTCCATATTTGCACGCCTACATTAAATAACCAAGTCTTTGCTAACACAATCCCAAAGCTAAAGATGGCCTTGAACATTGATGTGGCCACCTCTGACCCTCTGCCCCTGTCCTGCGGTGTGGGTGCATCACCCCCCATTTGCTGTGTTTGGAGCCCCATACCCCCCCATAGCTAGTCTAGTTTGGGGATCACAGAAACCACATTTGAAACTAGTAATGAATTTGGGTGTTGAAGAGTATACAAAACTTTAAGGGGTTTACTCTTTTGGTTAGAAAAGCTTGGCACAACTTTGTGTTAGGGCTTGTCTTTCAGCTCTAAGGGGAGATCCTTCTTCTGGCTGTTTGGGCACCCCCAAGACTCCACTTCTGGTTGGCCTGCAATTCTTCAAGGCCAAGGTGCAAATCACTCGGCTTATTAGTTTGGAGCTGTCTCTCCTATATCACTGTCATTTTAGCTCGTCCTGTCCTGTGGCAGGTATCCAGGTTTATTTGGCTGGGTGTGATTGATGTCCCCTCTAATTCATATCAAATGTCGAGAAGCTCGAGGAGCTGCCCTGGCCCGTACACAGAAAGCGACACTGGAGCAGCGGCCGGGCTCACGCCTGGAACCGTTCGCTGCAAGAGGCAAGAGACAAACGGAGGGGAAAGGACAGAGGGGCCGAATATTTAGTATTTAATAGTGTGCTTTTCTGAAGTGGATAGAGTTAGGAGATACAAAGTAGCTAAGTTTCCTGGAAATAACCCCCACTGAAAAGCATGAGGCACCCGTGGCCCCGAAGGGTAGCACCGAGCTGGGGCACTGGGCACCAGAGAGCCCGGTGCTGCCGCATGCCTGCGGCAAGGAACAGTGCCAACACCAAACCGGTCCAAACCAAAAACTTGTGCATCTTTGAAGGGGACAGAGAAGCCAATCTTCTGCTGGCCTACCTATTGCCCCTACCTATTGCATCTGCAGTTTTGCTGGGGCATTTTTTTTGCAAAGTCTTTCTGTACCGAAGGTGAGTGGTGGCTAAACAAAAAAAGAGGAAGATGATTCCGTGTGTCAGAAACACGGACTGCTTTTTCTCTTGCATCTCTGCCGTCGTAATGTGTTGACAACATCACACAGACGGTCAGAAGAGAAAGCTCTGGATTTGTGTGGCTGGACATCTCTTTTTGGGTCTGAGTAAAACTTACAAACGCTTGCCCAGCTAAATCTTCGGGTACGTACAGTCCATTACTGACACCATGAAGTGAGAGAGACCAAAAGCATATGTGCAGAGACTTGGCATTTAATAAGAAAACCACGTACAGGCGAGGGCCTGATTAATCAGGCACACGTTATCCGGGCAGCCAGGCTTAGCAGTCTGGTCACTTGACCCCCAAAACTTCAGTCAGTGCACATAAAACTCCTTTTGTTTCCTGCTATTTGAATAAGTCTTTCATCTTTCCTGTCTGCAAGATGTGAGATAGCAACGTAAGCTTTCTCCTTTTCCCTCACACTATATATATACATATATAAAATTTATACATACACATAGGTAAAATAATATTCTGCCTATATACATGCTGATGCACACACAAAGCATGTTGCAGAGCCTGTGGGAAATACTGTCTGTAAAGGAGCTTGCTAATTATAGCAGCTCTCATGGCAGCTTTCCCCCACCCTTCCCGACAGCAACAGAGATCAAACCCTTTTTTGTTTAAAATATTTACTGTACAGCTTGCAAAGCTTTAATCAGCATAACATGACGTTTCCTTGCAGCAGCCGAGTAATAAATATGCAATTAATAGGGAACTGAAATACGCCCATTAGCTGTTTGCAGAGTCCCCACTTCCCCACTGTAAGAACGCTTTCAGAGCGTTTAACGCTGTGCCTGCAGGCGGCAGAGCTGCCGAAGCCCTGGGCGCGAGGCAATCCCTTTGCCTTTCGGCGGGGAGAGGGACGAAGCGTTTCAGAGGAGCTTTGCGAAGTTTGCAGGGGGAACGAGCCCCGTGGCCGGTTTGGCCGCGGTGACGAGCCTCGGCAGACGCGGGCCGGCGAGAGGGGCGACAGCTCCCCCCACGATTTATAACTCTCCATCGGAAAGAAGGAGCCGCCTGGGAATCGGGCTTTTGAGACTGTTGATTTTGCTTTAGTACGTGCAACATTGCGCAGCTTAACAGGTCCAGACATACTGCTCTCCAGTGGCTTCGTACTCGCCTGGTGCCGGCGAGCGGAGGAGAGCTGGCGTCTCGGCACATACCTGCTTCCCCGCGCCGGCTCGGCCCCCCGCTCGCGTGGGAGCTGCGTTGCAACGGGGCTTCTCCTGGCTTCTCCTCGGGCTGGCCCAGCTCGCGCCAGCTCACGGGGTTAGAGCTGCTCAAAGTACTGGGCCGGGTTTGTGCTGCTAACCGCTTTGGTCTGCAAGGGCCCCTGGGCCAGGTTAGGCAGTCTTTTTTTTGTAACTTTTAAACTTCGTTTAAAACCATTAGTTTCCCACCGTGGTTGTGGCAACTTCTTGGCTCTGTCTCTGGTAGCAGGAGACAGCATGGAGATGGCTGGAAGGACCTTGATAGCTACATGTTGGGGAAAAAAAAAAAACACAAAAAACATAACTATCAACTTCAGAGCGCTCTCCAAAACCTTGTTGCACAAACCACAAGACAAAGCCACAACCTGGCACAAAAGCCTGGGTCAACACAACAGGCTGGGCAGCCTGTCCGAAAGCCAGCCGGC